GGTGGCTCTGGGGCAACAATAAACGTGCTGGTCTGGCTCTGTGTGTCTGTCCGTGATGGGGAGGGAGGTGCTGGGGGAGCCCACCCATGTCTGGGGAGCTCTGGGCTGCTGAGCCCTCTCCCGTGGTGCTGAGGCTGCTCCAACACGTGGCAGAAGGTATCGCTCAGCCCTGAGGGCAGTCTGACACTGAGGGGTCTGCAGGGCACAGTGTGGGACAGCAGGGACCAAGTGATTGCCAGCTGTTCCTGGCAAAGGCATCCCCTGGACAGGTACCTGGGCTGGCTGGCCACCTCCTGCCCTGGGGTGAGGCATAGCACCCAGTCCAGTCCCTGTCCCAGTGTGGGTACCCAGGGCTCTGCCTGGTGCCAGTGCCCACTGCACTCCTTAGGAAAAAAGCTAAGGAGTGCCCCTGGCCCCCAGTGCCTTTCCCCTGGTCGCAGACCTGACCCACCATGGGCCTGACCCACTGCACTGGCCTTGGCACTGCCTGGCCCAGGTGGAGGCTGCTGGTGCCTGTGACTCCCCAGGAGCCTCAGAGGGCACCAGGGCCACCAACTGCCCCAGGGGACATGGCCCAGCATCCCTGTTATCGCAGAGTCAGCACGGGAGGGGCACAGCTCCCTGTCCCTGCTGTGGCAGGGGCAGCACAGCACCATGAGCACCTGCACTCTCTGCAATCTGCATCCAAGGGAGGCAGCTGTGGGATGGGCACAGCAACCAGAGTCTTGATCTTCTACATCTGGGGCGAGGGGAACAACAAAACAAAGCAAGCCCAACCAACAAACCACAGAAAACAAAGTCACAAACTTGAAATGCAGGACATTTCCCCCCCTCAATTTTAATGCCACATTCAATTGTGCTCCTGGGACTCAGGGGCTGTCAGTAAACAGCTCAGAAGAGCCCAGAGGCACTTGGAGAAGAGAACATCATACGCCAAAGTTTTCAGAGTAAACTCAGCAGCAGCTCTGGAGGCCCTGAGGAACAGCAGCTCCGGCTGAGCTGACATCTCCACACACATCAGTTACAGCAGCAGCATGCGCCCAGCGAGAACATCACTAAAGTGCTCTTGTCATTTTTCAATACCAGCAGTACCTGCCTGGGGCCCGAGGAGGCTCCGAGGCAGCTCAGCGTGGGGCGGATGCGTC